ACGCGCCATGCCCTGGATGGAAGCTGCGCAACGGTCAAGGAGGTGTTGTCGTCTGTACTGGTTTTGTTCAGGCTCGTCCGTGTGTGTCCAGACATGCTGGTAAATGTTAAGGGTTTCGATTGCCGAGCCGTCCTTGCAAACCTTAACCCTGAGGACCCGGCCAGGAATGATTTCCTGATGTCTAACCATGGATGAGTCGTACTTGGGATTAACAAGTGTCAGAATGCCCTCGCCTCGCTTCGTGGCTGATCCGACCGCCGTCCATCTGTCAATTTGGAAGGTGCTAGAGGCGGTTCGATGGGTCTCTTGAAGGAACACAAAGTCATACTGAAGTCCTTCACTACTCAAGAAGACTTTGACCTCACTCCAAAGAAATCCCCCTAGGCTGTTCACATTGACTGACAGAATTTTTAGGCGTGGTATCTGGCCTCCACGACGTTTGCAGGCAGGTCTGCGTTTGTTCCCTCCCGTGTTGGGTTCGATCGCGGCAGTGTGGAGTCCCAACTGACTGCCCGGGATTTGCCTGCCTTTGTAGTGTGTGTGGTGTTGCTGATGTCTCGCGCATCTTGCCTGCGCTCTTCTGAAACTTCGTTTGAAGCCTGTGGCCTCCATAACACGGACGGCGCTGCTCACCGACGCTGCGGTGCCGCCAGGTGCATGCTTCCCCATCACGTGTGGACTGATGTTTTCTGTCGGTTTGGGTCCCCCCGTCCCTGCCGGGACAGGAACCCTCACCCCCCCCCGTCGGGGTGTTGCTGTGTATAAGAAATAACAGTAGACGGAGCCCGGACTTGGGACCGGGCAAGCCATACTGGTGGCGTGCTTTGCTCGTCGTCTGGACCTTAGGGTCACGTGTCGGTTGGCGCGTTTGGCCATGCAAGCGCATCATCATTCTGGCATGCTGAGTGGATCGCACATACTCGCCGAGGTTGGCTCTGATAGCTGAGTAAATCCTCCTGTGAAGGCACATTTTGCGCCGGCGCGCATGTCTCCGGTAAGGACTGCGCCGGACTTGACTTTGTCGAAAACGCCAGCGTCTGCCACGTTTGCCTATGCAAGCTTTCGGGCTACCCATGTGAGTAGAACTAGGAGCTGCTCTAAGGCTAACCAGGCTGATGCAGGCTTGTGGGCTGATATTTTTGGTGTCCTCCGGCGCGCTGACGTCTCTGATGTCCTCTAGGCACAGCTGATAGCTTGGGGCGGTGACGAACGGCGTGGAGACCACTTGCCGTTGTAGGATGTCCTCCGCCCGTGGACGACTGCCCATCCGCGGTCCGCTTGTGGACGAGGATCGAAACACGGAGTGCATCACCTGTGGGCGAGCTTCCTCTGTCGTGTCCGCCACTGGCAGCGGGTCGCTGAGGCCGATCCAGCTGTCTAGGATGCCGATCAGGGATGACCAACTCTGCCGCCAGCTCATACGGTAGTAGAGTGTATGAGGAATGCCTGCGAGCAGGGAGTGAAGACAGGATGCCAGTGCTGACCAGGCTGCCACCAAGGACTGAGCCTCCCGGGTCTCCCTGCAGTAGACCGTGTACAGGTATGCCTCAATGGCATCGCCAAGGCGGCCGTGTTGTTGTCTTCCTCCGAGGCGCACCTGCCCTACGACAAGAGATGCAGTTAAACTCCAAATCCAGTTCCCGCATGCCGGCGTCATGAGTGGTTCTGCGAAGGGCGTACCATCTGCCCGGACGGCACGCCCTTCGCGGGCGAGATGGTAGGGGTTGTGGAATTGGTGGAATGCCCCCTGGTCCAAGAACTCAATGACGTCTTGGATGTGCTCCGCCGTCTGCAGTGCCTTGCCTGCACTTTGAGCATCCTTGAGCTGGCGGATCTTGATCGTTCTAGTGCCAGCTGTCGCCTGCAGGAGGTCACTGCCACTTCGAGGCTCCATCGTTCGTGAACGGCGAGCTGCTGATGCGGTGGTCGTCCGTCCCACCTGCCCTAAGGGCGCGGAGACCGCAGGCCCCTGCACCGGTGATGGTTCGTGTGCCACCTGGGGTGCCGCCGAGCTTGCGGTTGCTCTTGTCTGTCCCATCCCCGGCAATGGGCGGGCATCGGACTCCCAAGAGTCTGCTTCTGGCCTTGGTTGTTGCTCGACCGGGTCGTCAATGGCGGTCTCGGACTGGTCTGGATGGTGAAGTCTGTGGAGTCGGAGACCGGCCGGCAGAGTTGGGCTCGTCTGCACGCCTCTGTCGCAAGTAGTGACAGTTGGGCTCGTCTGCACGCCTTTGTCACCAGTAGTGACGGTGGGTGGCTGTCGTGCCAGTATCTGCGTCGGGTGTGGAAGACTCGCCAGAAAATTCAGGATCGTGCCAGCCTCGCCTGGAGGTAACGACGCCAATCTTTGCAGGGCTAATTGAACATGGGGCTGAGCCTCCAGGAGAGCAGCCACACTTTGTGTGTCGGAGGGAGCTGTAGTCTGGGTAGATGTCTGATGCTCGTCCTCGGCTTCTCGAGTCCACTGCCATTGTCCGGAGTGTGGAGTCCACTGCCTCCCATCGTCCCAACCTGTCCACTGGGCGGTGTCTTCCCAGTTGCTCCAGGTTTGAGTGTCCCACCACTGCACCTCATGGTGGTAGTGGGAGTCATCCTGCCATGACGAGGTAGCTGACTCCTGCGCTCTCGCCTGTGCTTTTGCCGCCGCAGCCGTGCGAAGATCCTGCAAGGGTCCAGTGGCAGATTCCCCGCTTTCACGTAACCTGGATGGGAGTCTGCGCGCTGATCTTTGTTGGGAGCTTGGACTCAGCATCGGTAGTATGTGTGGTGGTTTAGAGCGGTTTATGAGACCCTGGCTTTGTTTGGGGCAGGCACTGTGCGGGGCTTCGGATGACAAGCATCCTGAGGAGGGACTTAGGGCATGGGTCTGTTGAGCACAAGGCCATTGGGGCTGTCTTGGTGGAGTGGCTGACCCGCGCCATCCTACTACTTGGTAGCATGACGTGTGCGCTGGTCCGACCGGATTACGCCCTAAGTGCGGCTGCAATGCTTCGGCACGTGCATCAAGTTGCAGGCAGGTCTGCCGACTGCCAGAGATCAAAATTGCCCCAGGTAATGCATCCGATCCTGCCTCGTCGTGGGCCGCGGCCTGGTTGTGGACCTGAGTCAGCAAGTGGTGTGCACGCATGTTTGTGAGCGCAAGTTCGGGCGTGAATATCGGTTGGCCAGGGCTTGGGTATCCGGAGGCAATGGCTAGATGCAGAGTCCCGCTGGGCAGAGTTCGGTTCGTATTTAGGGGAGTCCGACGCGTGTTCCCGAAGCACTCAGGACTGCAGACGTATTGCCCTTGCTTGTGTGAGCGTCTTTTTTCTCGGTGCTGGCGCGGAGTCCGCTTGCCTCGGATCGCCCGTAGAGCTGCCTTAACCTCATCGGTCGTGGGCCATCCCTCTGATGTTGGGAGGGCTCGGCTGTCACCTACTATCTGGATCTGGAAAACGTAGTCAGGCGGCAACCACCCATTGCGGCCGGGGGTAAGCAGCACTTGATTGTTCGATTCGAAGAAAACGAGACCATCATGTATGCTCCGCCTCAGGTCCACCCACAACATAATTTCCGCTTCGTGTCTAAGGCCCGGTCTGGTCTGTGTATGATCAGTGGGCAGGTCGCCGTTGATGAGGTGTATGTGTTGTCTTCTACCTCGGAACAAGCCCTGCGAGCGGATGTTGGAGTAGTGCTTGAGGAAGGTCCCATGTATGGCTGTGGCGGGCGCGGTCTGCTCCGAGAGTCGTCGGAGCATGGCACTGTCATCTATGTGATAGTGTCGTGTAAGGTCTTGGCTGCGCCCTTGTAGGGCGCGGACACTCTCGATGCCTGACTC